ACGGCCATCCCTTCCCCCCCATCCCCCGCCGCTTGGGCCACCACCCTCCCCAGTCCCTCAACGTGGGGAAGCCTTTATACCAGAGCATGAACTGCAAACCCATGCAGATGTACGTGCTGGACATTAAGGACACCAAGGAACAAGGACGAGTCAAATGGAAAGTTTTCAACAGCAGCTCGGTGGTGGGGCCGCCCGAAACCAGTTTACACACGGTGGTACAAGGCAGAGGGGAGTTAATCATATTCGGTGGCCTCATGGACAAGAAACAAAACGTGAAATATTATCCCAAAACAAATGCCTTGTACTTCGTGCGAGCGAAAAGATAATGCGGCACGAGCCCGTGGCCGCCGTCACCTTCTCCCTTCCCTCCCCGCGGCTCTTCCCTCTCCTTCCCGAGCCCTTCCTCCGTCACGCAGGTGTTCCAACTGTGAATTAAGGGAGCGAGAAACCAATAAAAATCCAAGAAAAAAAACCTCCAGCGCTGCCCCGCCAGTTCCCAGTAAGACCCCGGTTAAGCGAATCGCGTTTACAAGCGGGGCAGGACCCGCGCCGCTGCGATCCGAGCCGAAAAAGAAGATTCGGGGTGAGCAGGTAGGGAAATCATCCAGTATCCTCGGGAGGTTGGTTTTTTTATTTTTCCAAGGGTTCAAGAGGCTTCGGATCTCTCCAAAACTCCTTGGCACGGGAGTAAAAAGTGGTTTTATACGAACAAACCAAATACTGGCAGGCGCGGAGCCGTTACCTTCCATGCACCGACTCTTTCCGGGCTCCGCTCCGTAAGGAAAACAGCAATATCCCACCAGGAACCTTCCAGTGCTGCAAAACCTTTGCTTGACGCGAACACGATGCCTTTTTTTGTGGTTGGTTTTTTTTTTTTGCCTCCCACTCTCCTTCCTCTCCTCTGTCCAAGACCGTAAGAAAGAAGAAATGACAGGTTTTTTGCCTCAAAATGCCAAAAATCCTAAGAATTAGCCCGGTGTTAGTATCCTCCCCTCCCTGCCCTGTGCCGGATCAGCCCCGATCCCTCCTACATCAGCCAAAAACCACACCGTTTACTCACAAAATCCCATTATTCCCCCAAAGCTGAGAAATTTGGCTCTTTGTCCTCTTCTAGACTTGAAGGTTTCGTTTCACTCGACATCCCAAACCCCTTCGAGGCTGAGCCAGCACCTCGGAGCCTGGGAATAGGGATTGTTTTGGGTGGTTTTCCAGCCAAAAAAAATGAATATCGGTAAATTTGAGGGCGTGAGCAGCCTCGATAACTGGAACTGACACCTCGGCTTTGCACGTGCCTCCTTCCGCAAAGATTCCCATGAGTTAAAATCCAAAGGGATTGAACCTTCTGGGACAACCTCCCCCCTTCCCTTTCCCCTCCAGGGGAAGGGGGACGGGGAAGGGAATGGGGGGATTCTGCCAGATTTTGGTCAACAACCTCCAGCACCCGAAA